ACTACTACTACTACTACTACTACTACTACTACTACTACTACTACTACGAACGGACGACGCGATCGGACGCGCACGATCGGAACAACATGGTCGAAACGACCCAACAACAATTGGATGATCATGTCTTGATATTTATTTCGTTTTTTGGGGGCGATTTATGTGAACAACCATTGGTCCCATTGGTGAATTTACAGTAATTTAGTTGGCGTGTCTTTTGGACGTGTGTGGAGACTGGTGTTGTTGTGCTCCCACGGGGCCGGTGACGAACAATCACTGTTCCCGCTTCCCGCTTCCCCATGCCTTTGGGGGGGATTTCCTGCCGTGCGGAAAAGTAAACATCACCCAAAGCAAAACCAGGCTTTTGCATTGATGGAGTGGACGATGACAAATTGAGAGGTCCGTTCCTATGGAGAGTAGGGTGAGAAAATCACGGTAAGCAGCAGAGTCATGAGGCTGTGTTCAGTTGACCATGTTTCCAATAGAGTCATGTCATGCCGTTGTGCCTTTCAGTGGACGAACCCGTCGATGTTGCCTTGGACCCTCTGTCCGTTGCATCGGACCGTGTCGTCCGAGCCGGGTCCAAGTAGCTCGGCAGAGTACTTCTCTGGTAGCTTGGGATGACCACAAAGCAACCTGATTGCTTGGTCAACCATCTCCAGTGAAACATGGAAGTCACCCATGTTTGAGTCTCTCCACATGAACATGGCATTTTCTACCAGAGGCGCTCAAGCTGCTCGTAGACTCATCGAAAGAAATATAAAGACAATATAAAGACACATCGAAGAACAATGGGTGGCAAATTATTGGATAAACACAAACACACAGTGTATATATATATGTATACATAATCACACACACATACACGCGCAACAAAAATCCTGAAACCGTCTTCGGCCCAGCAACATGCTCCGCATTTGATTCAAATCCGCCACAGGGCCGGACCTCAGTGATTTCGGACTGACTGACTGGTGACCCAAGGCGAGTCAGAATTCTCGAGGTACGCAGGTCGAACGGTGAGAACGTCTTGCCGTCTTGGGATGTAGTCGGAACAAGACGTTTCAACTTCCAAATGTCTGTATCCAAGCGGTTGTTTTTTTACATGCTTTTACATTTGAGCTTCATGTGAGCTTCGTGAAGCACATCTTTAACCTTCATGTAACGTAGCTGTTTCATGTTATTTCTGAGATTTCTGGGACACAAGTCTGCCATTCAACCCACTGACCCTGACACACACATTGCAGTCACAATCCCAAATTACAAATCATATCAGTTCCAATCACCTCTCACTTCAATAATTATGTCAGTCACCCCACGTATATATGGTGGTTCCGTGATCCATTCTCCCGAACAATCTTCAGATCTGGCCTTGGGATCGTCAGAATTCACGATCTGTCGATATCAGCTGTCCTCCGGTGCGCTGCATCCAGCTGATCTGCGGCCCAGCTGATCTCATCCCCGATTCTGCCCAGATGCAAATGGCCAGACATATTCGCCTTGAGATACCTCGGTGGGGGACGAGTCTGGCATGGTTGAGACTGGAGACTCCCAGCTCTCGGTCCAATCGCAGCGAGGCGGCTCATAGCGCGCGAGCGTCATGTCCGCCAGCACCGCCCCGCGGGAATGTGCGCTCGCGTCCATCAGGAAGGACTCCCCATAGACCTCTCTAGGCAGAAAAATCCAAGGCCCCGGAGCAAGAAAGAGCAAAGTTCTGAACAACCTGGGTCTGTTCATGTGTCGACATGACCAACATCGACATGTCTTGACCGAAAGCAAACGGATGACAGGTCAGGACAGATCTCTCCGTCCATTCGGGGAAAATCAATAGGACTTGATCTCCAGGAGTCACAAAGGGGTGCTTATTATCGGAGGTTAGGGGTGCCCAGTATCCACTCACTTAGAGACCAAACACCACCCCGTCTTGTGACCCCTGGCTTGTCGATCCGAATGCACGTGACATCGTGTGACAGCCACTCCTTCTGCGAGCGTGCAGAGCAGCGTAGGCTTGCCTCTGTTGCTTCGCATCGTGTAGATCTTGTTGTTGGAATTGTTTCATCAGGGTCTGATCATGTCTGAGATTTACTCAGTTCGAAGTTGGGTTCCAACATTCATGAACACCCCATGTGGTTGATCACCCCGAACTCCAACCAAACTTGGCCCAACACCTGACCTGACGCTTTGGCACACCCGCCGACCAAACAGTAAAGCAAACAAACAAACACACACACACACACACACCAAAACACAAAAGAACAAGTCAACAAAAACACCCAAACACCTCAAAACACCAACCACATCAAACCAGCAGTTCTCCCTTGTTCTCCCTCCTTGTTCTCCCTCTCCGTTTGGGATGCCTCGCCTCCAGACCGGCCAAGGCTGTGGCCCTCGCGTTCACCGAGCACACCGGTGGTTCCACCGCTTCGTAGAGGCTCAGGCCTCCCAGAGGCCGCCCGTGCGCCCGGTCCCTTGGGAGCCCCAGTCGATGGGTTTTTTCGGGCGCCTTGGTCTTAGCTTCATGGTGTGGCGCCTAGGCAAGAGTTGAAGCTGGAGCTGGGGTTGGAAAGTGGAGACCTCTTCGGTGGGTTGTTTCTTTCATACTTCTGCCATTGTCTGCCCTTTTCTGCCCGGCCCACACATCGTCCAATGAGTGAAAGGACGCGCTGTCTTGGACCTCTGACTCTCCCCTTGGATTATATATATATATATATGTGATATATGTTTATTTGCTGAATCAGGTGAGCAACTAACTGTGCCCTAGAAGTCCAGTTCGACGATATTTTGACGGACTGTTTTGTAAGGGGAAATGCCTGAACTCGGGTCACCTAGTCAGACCATTCTCTTTATCTTCGACTCCCAGGGTCTAAGTAGCTTGTCTCAGGGTCACTATTGTCAGTTGGCAGGATGTGTCCGGCCAGAGGGTCTCCCTTTCCGAAAACAGCTTGGTCCCTTCACGTCCGTCCATCTGGGGCTGTCCGAAGAACACCCATTCGTTGGACGAATCTTCTGCGGTGGACGAAAGTGGATTCCAATCCAGAAATACACCGGTAGTCCTGGAAGCTGGAAAGCATTAACTTTCTTCATCACGGCTTGGGTCTGATCTGCAAGGTCTCTAGTCCATATTATTGATGAGTCTATTTTGTATAACGGCTTGGTAAAGACGGAGTTTCCATCCATTGTGCAGTTTGCTGAGCTTGCTGCTTTCTAAAAAGATCTAAACAGGTTTGCGCCTGTACCACACCCTCATCGTTTGTTGTATTCTCCCAGCTCTCACACTGGGCAACGTCGCTTCAGAAGTCCATACGTCGCTTCAGGAGCTTGTCCAGCTCGTTACGCTCTGAGCTCTTTCCATCTGAACATCGGATGCCGCTATTCCCAAACATAGCGATAGATGATATATATGAGCATTTACTCCCTGTTTAGCATTTACTCCCCATATTTTGGAAGTGAGGGCTGTGCCATGTGCCATCTATTTATTAGAGTCAAACTCTATATACCAGGTTTTCTGGCACCTTTAGTACGGCTGTCTAACCGACAAAAAACGTCAATGGTCACAGATAGGGGCACAAACGATTGTGAAAGGTGATTGAATGGTCTTGAGATGTTTTGAGTTTGGAGTCGCTTGAGGGAAATTCATCTGAAACAAGCTGGATGTAGCTTTCCCGGACATTGATGCAGGAAATGGTTCAAATCCCCGGACAAATCCACGGGAAACTTGCCAACATGCTTTTACACGGCACTTGAAGTGAGCCATCCGTGCCCCTCACGTTGTCTTGAAAACACAATCGCCACTTAGGTGGTGCCTAAAATGTGTTTTCTGTCCATAGCAGTCAGGCACTCGAACGTCTGTCTGGTCTGTTGGAGATGGGGAGGTGCTACCTTCTCCTCGTGCGAGAAGTTCCAGCACATGGCAAACTACAGTAGCTCCATGGAGACCCTTCCAGTGTGGCATCTCGACAATGACACGTCATGACACGTCATGACACGTCCACGTCAAGAAACTCACCCCCCCTCTGAATAGAAACAAAACACATCAAGAGAATACCAGTGCTCTCACCACCCCTTTTGCTCCTATCCCTTCCCCTTTCCCATCCCGCCTTTGGGGCGATTCCCCAACCAGCTCAGGGGGTGAGCGACCGCCTCGCCCAGAAGTTCCTCGGTCGCCGCCAGAAAGTCGTCGCTCACCACCTGCCCAACGGAGGTCCCGGCGCAAGATCCGAAAGATCCGCCGCCCAGGGGCGAGCGGAAAGAGCTTCTGGCCGGCCAGAACCGAGAAGCCCAACGTATCGAAGGGGTGCACGCGGCCGGCCAAGACTCCCAGAAGAACACGGCCGGTTTCCCACCTTCCAAGGCCGGTCCCAGCGAACAAGAGAGCCCATTCCGCCTAGCAGTGTTCACGACGTCGGGCGACCCCGCACCACTCTGCCCCCCCCCCAGTGTTGTGGCTGGCACCTGCACCTTTCGGAAGCTCACCATCTCCGATGGGTCTTGAGGTAGCCACAGAATCACCACTTCCTGCACCTGACGGCGGCTTCAGGTTTTTTATGGTTTTTGTTTGAAGCAGAAGCTTTTTTTGGGGGGCTCACAGGTACAGAAGGAAGAAAACAACTGGAACAACATGGCTCTTGGGGTGTTCAAAGATACTTTCCGACCATGCAATTTTCTGAGATAGTCTTCATATAAGTATTAGATGTAGTATCAGTATAGTTAGTTGTCTGTTTTGAGCACTGGCCTTGGGCTACCACCTGCCGGCCTCGTTGACAGGCTTTTGACTTCCAATGTCTTTCCATTCGAAGCGACCACGGCCTACGGTCCCACGCCGCCGAGTTCACGCCGAACGCCGAACGCGCGACCGGCGCCTCCGGCTTCGGCGTCTCGGGCGGCCGCTCCACCGAGACCGCCGGGCCGCTCGCACCGGGGGGGGGGTCGGTCCTGCAGCACCTGGGGGCGGCCGAGTGCTCTCGGGTTGGGGCGGAGTCGATCCGGTGCGAGTCGATGGATGATGATGGATGGAATGGGGCAGCGCCTTCTCAAGCGGGCGCCCCAGCCAACAAGGCCGGTCCAACATGGACCTCACCAAAGTGGATGATCATATGATGACATGTCGCCGACATGTCAAGAAATCGAAGTGGCGCTTTCGGTGATCCTGGCGAATTCGATGAACCGCCATTCTCCCCAACTGAAAGCGCCTAGTTCGACTGGACAACCAAATCCATTTGTTTCGTCATGTTTCGTCTGCATGACAGCTTGACTTAGGAGGATTGACGCGTGTCCAAGCAATGTTCTGAGAAATGGCAAAGGAGGTGGTTGAAATTGGCTTCAGCACTACTCCCTGACATGTGCTTCTTGATCTTTTGACATCCTCACAATTCCTGACACCATTGATTACCATGAACTCTCAGCAGACTGGATCTCGGCATCTGAGAACAAGGGCGACCTCCGAACCCCACGGACCACGCGCGGACCGGCTCGCGCGGACCGGACCGACTGATGCTTGAGCATGATTGGCGGATCACGTTACGTGTTCCTGATCCCCAAACCATTGCAGCTTTGATAGGTTTTGATATGGTTTTGATATGAGCTGGACACAAAGACAGCAAGTTGAACCATCTCAGAATGTGAGCTGACTCAAGTGAATGGTTGCCCCGTTCAGTCGACTCATGCTTGTATTACATGAAAAATCTAGTTGTGATTCCTGCCATACCCTCACCCCCCTCATACCCCCTCAGTTTATGTAGCGTAATTTATTTTTTCCAACTGTTCTTAGATTTCTTGGGGAAGCCAATTCCCCAAAACCAAGCTTAAAGGTTTAAAGGATGTATAACATTCTTAACTAGTATCTTATAAAGGTTCTCCGCTTTTCTTGGGTCTGCTGCCATCCCGTCGCCCACGTCGCTGGTTTCCGCGCGTGCTCTCCGCGCTCTGGCGCTCTCAGCGCCTCCAGCGCCGCCCGCGCGGCGTCCTGCTGCGCGGCGCGGCGGGTCTTTTCGGAGGACTCGAAGTCACTGCGCGACATGGCTCGCCTGGGCGTGGAGTGGAACGTGGCCGATTTGGGGGCATCCTGGGAAACCAGTCCCAACCAGAAACAAATGGATGTTTCCCCAGTCCCAGCCATTTCCATCCATTTCCCATGTAAAGGATTTCAAGCAAGCCATTTTGGAACAACCATTTTGTTTCTGGTTGGAACTGGGTTTCCAGGATTGGCTTCACTAAAGGCCAGGATTGGCTGCACTTCACTCCGAAAGGAGCCAGATCCTAAAAAACTACTACGAAGTAAGTATATACGAAGGGAAACACACCACCACAAATGGACCTCTTCCCCTACACATTTGAAGTGCATCTCTTCAAAGAACGCATGTTCCTCTCACACTTGCCTTTGCTGCTGATGGTCCATGGTTTCTTCGGGACTCTTCAGTGGCTTGCGACGAGACGCGCCACTTCACGCAAGCACGGGACGCGATGGAAGACGCACGGGACGCGATCGGTGATAAGACTGGCAGTTGCAACTAAGACACCCTACAGCCACAAAGGGTTCTTGACCTTCAATTGGCACCTTAACCTCAGCTGGCAGAAGCCGAACACCATTTTCTTCCAAGGGCGAAACAGTTTCGCTCAGTTTGAAGCAAGTTTTGGATGACAAGAAGCTACAGCCAACCCAAGTGTGGTTTTGTAATGTTCTATAAAGATCATGTACGCTTTCCTTCTCCGTTTCCCTTACTCCAACAGTCTGACGCTCCACTTCGACACAAAGAAACACCATGTCGAAACATAGTCGAAACATGGCGCTCAGAACTCAGAACTCTCAAAAGGCTCCGAACTCTGGTCCACTGGCTGCACTTGGAGCGGTTGCACTCTGCTGCGTTTCACCAAGCTCTGCTCTCTCTCTCTCTCTTTCTTTCTTCAGCTCGGAACCCCAAGAGAACCCGGGCCCTATCGCCCATCTACCGGCCCCGCCCCCAAAACCCGATCCCGCCGGATCTGCGGCGGCGATCCGGGCGCGGCGGATCCGGGCGATGCGAGCGACCTTCGCCTGGAAGAACTTCTCTTCGGAGTCTTCGTTCACCTGGACGGTCTGCGGCGCGTGAATCGGGTAAGGGATCAAAATACAAATAAAAATAGAATTAAAAAAAAAAATATTCAACGGGGATCAAAAAAAAAGAAAAAGATAATCAAAAAAAATATTCTAGCCCACTGAGGATGATTGGGGTAGTAGTAGTAGCAGTAGCAGTAGCAGTAGCAGTAGCAGTAGCAGTAGCAGTCAGCAGCAGCAGCAGCAGCAGGAGGAGGAGGAGTGGTAGTAGTAGTGGTAGCAGTAGCAGTAGTCACGGCGTTCACACGAAGTTAGGCCCTACATGGCGTTGTCAGAGCGCTCGGAGACAGAAGGACTAGGATACCAGGGGACCAGCGGACCACAGGACCAGAGGACCAGGAGACCGGAGGACTAGGGGACCAGTGGACTCAAGGACCAAGGGACCAGGGGACCAAAGGACCAGTGGACCAAGGGACCACATTACCAGAGGACCCGCAGACCAGAAGGCCAGGAGAGCAGCAGAAAAGGCCTATCAAGGAATATTTATTTTTTGATTCGCTTTTATGTTTATTTTGATCCTGTTTTTTTTTTGATGCTCTTGATATTTTTTTTGATACCTATGCCGCGTGAATCGGCGTTCAGCCTGCGACACCGGTGGCTGGGCTTCAGCCCGGTGTAGGAAGGGGGGAGCTGCAGGTGTTGCTGGTGACCCCGCGGTCTTGTGGGCCATTTTCTCTGAGTGGAATTGTCATACCGGCCCTTGATTTAAGTCAATTCGAAGCTGCACTGGATCGCAACCAGGAGGCAGGGAGATGCACATGTTCATCCATGTTCAACATCCAAGGCCTCATTCATGGCCGGCCTCCCCAAATGGTCCCCTCCCTCTCACTGGCCCCAACCACCCACATATTTACTCGGCTGCTGGGCGGACCTACTGGCGAAAGGAGGGGTGTTTTTCGATGGTCAAAGGCACCCGGTAGACATCAAAGAGAACTTGGTCACGCTTGCCCAAAGTCCTCGGCAAGGATAAAACGAAAGCGATGGTCGACACCTCTTCACTCTCTGACGTGGAACGACTCACAAAGCAATCTTTGCACAATATTTGATGAAACTCCAGCATGACTGTTAAAAAAAAACTGTTCTTGGCCAGGGGACCTTGTCAGCTTATGTACTTGTTCCTATTTTGGTGTATTGTGTGGCAGCATTGCTGCTAAGGAGGCTCTGGATATACCTAGCAGGCACATTGGTTGTGCAACTGGCAACTGGACTCATAACAAATCACCTGTCAGCCAACTTAATGTGATTTGGCTGGTTTCAGGGGAGATTGGCCGTCACTATATAAAAAGAATCAGTCTACACATATCCTACAATCCCTGGAAGTCCTAATGACTCGTTCGTACCCCTCACAAGTGGTCTTTCTCAGACATGATCAGACTACCTCAAGAGTTTAATGAGTAAAAACGGAAGTTCTTTGATTTAGAAGCATTCCCCAGAACTTCCGTTTGGACTCGCTTTACCCCACCGCGCAGGGCTCCCCGCACCCACCTGAAACGTTTCAGACATGTCGTCCGTCCGAAGAATCACCCCGACATTTCGGCACACCGTGGCACACCCGTTCTCAGAACGCCACACTTTGGAACGTCAAATGACCGCGTACCCGTCTTAGTTCACGGGTGAAGATAACAATTTTGGGAGATAAACGTTCTTTTTGAGGTTCTTTTTTAGTTATTATAGTGTATTCGAGTCTATTTTCCCGATCGGGACATGTTTGGCTGCTCGAGAAGGCCTTCTTCCCTGTTGGGAACCGCGTGCGCACACACAAACAAACAAGTATCATGAGGAATCCTTGATCAACAAAAAACCTCCGCACCTGACATCAACAGGAATGTTTAGTGTTTCTATGTAGTTGCTCAACCAGCTGATCTCCAGATTTTGTCTTCATCCTTCCGGCAGACCCATCCGTTTCCATTCCGTGCCAGCGGCACTCCATCTGCTTCACCCTCCACCGGACAATCGGACGACGATGCGAAGATCGGATTGTAGGTGGTCCAAGGCACTGGAAGAGGGTCAACAATTGACCCTTGAAATCGGTCGTGCCATCCTGAGATGCGCCCCGCTCTCGCGCAAGTGTTCAGGCAATGATTCCAACCGTACACGGTCGATGGATTTTTTCGCGCACTTTGATGCATTTAGTTGATACAGCACAGTGCACCCCAGCTAAGGAACTTGAAACACCCAACCCGGAACTTGAATTCCAATGGAGAAAACACATCGAACGCTTTCTCCAGGTCTCTGCGCTCCCTGGATTCTCTGCTGAAGCCGCCAAGGCTTCCAGTGCTACGCAGGCTGAATCCTGCACAGCACTGATGAGCTTGGAGGTGGAGGGAACCGTGATCTTCCACTCATCTACTCAGTCAGTCAGGTGCTATACGACGAATAGTACTACGAAGAGTTTTGATTATCATTGTTCTTTCTCTGAATGTGCATACTTTTCTTTGATGTCAAGCATCATCCAGCATCATACAGACCTCCACCTCCCCAAAGAGACCACCCCACATCCCAGTATCCAGGGACCCATCCCTTGGAAATCCGTACGCCCCGCACGCCCACGGCCGTTCCGGGGCTGCACCTGTTCAGCCGCCTTCTTGTTGCCGTGGGTCAACCGGCTCTCGTAGCTCTCTCCCAGCACCGTACACGTCGCCCTGTAGCTCGGTGGGTGGTCCTGGGTGGGACGCAGGAGCGCACCGCAGGACCACAAGAAGCCACAACATTGCGCCGGGACACGGGCACGGTGGCACCCCACAAAAAAAACAGGAACACAAACTAACAATACACAAATAACATAAAAACAATTTAAACAAATGCTTTTACCATATGCTTTTATTTTGGCATATGTTTTTACCATACCTGGCCTTTCAATCACATTCTTCTTGCTTCTCCCATCTTCTCCGCGCCGTGCCGTTCTCCGTGCCGTTCACACCGATTGGCCGACCCTCTCCGCCGTTCTCCGTCGTTCCAAGCCACCCCAACCCTCGACGCTTCATACCTGCACCCACGGAGGGACGGGGCCACCGGCGTTCCGAACGACGAGAGGGGACGTCGGTGTTTCGCTTTTTCGGATCCAGCAACAGAGAAGAAATCACAGCGATTTTTTGTTTGATGCTATATATTGGTTGTATTGGTTTTGTGCTTCTGTTCACCCTTTTCTTCATGTTCCCACCCTTTTCAAGCCTATAGCTTCCCAATTCTCCCAATGATGCTCCAATCAGCTCGGGTCGGGTCGCCCCCCAACTGGCCGCCACGGCCGGACCGCGCGCGGGACAGCGACGGCCGATCCATCGACTCGGATGAAAGACTCCCTGTTTCAGCTGTGGCCATGTTCGGCTTTTGATCACCATTCCAATATGGAGGGTGGACACGGTGGACCCTCCCCATTTGATAGAGGATATTGGCAAGGGGGTGGCTTTTGTGGACGGACATGTGTCACTCCGAAACAAACGCATGGCGAGCGGCTGTTGCGAGTCAAGATGTGTTGTCTTCCATGGTCCGTCCGTGCCAAGAAAAGCCAGAGGGTCCCTGCCTCACATCTTCCTTGGCGATGGAGCGGCCCAAGCGCTTGGAGACCACGTGACCCAGCTCGCCCTTGCAATTCCGCTGGCCCATCTCCATGACCTTGGAGGCTTCGGTCCCTTCGATTCTTAGCTACCTGGCAGGGGGTCTAAGAAGGGTCGGGTGGTCCTGAAGAATTCGAAGGTGGACCACCATCTTCCCGGTTGCCTTCGGTGTGTTTCTTTCGGAAGCCACCCACCCAACGTCTGACTATAGCTCTCTATCCACCAAGCCATCCAACTCCATCTTTCACGTCTGGCACGGGATTCCCTGATCACATTCCTGCAGCCGCAGCCGCGGGGAGTGCCACTTTCGGCGCCGCTGGGGCAGCTGCTTCCGCGGCCGAAGCAGCCGCTTCGGTGGCTGAAGCAGCCGCGGCAGCCGCTTCAGCAGCCTCGTAGCCGCGCTTGGCCTGGTCACAGGTGGAACGAAGCAAAACTCCTTCATCTGAGCTACGTGTCAGAAATAGGCTATTGATTCAACTGCCATTACATCTTGGTAGATGATCGCAAATCCTGTGAGAGCAAAGGAACCATGTACTTCAACCCTGCTTCGAGTCCTTGATTGAATGCCTCCACATGGCCAAAAGCGCCTGGCCCCCAAAAACATCGACGCGACCCAGCGACCTTCCAGTGACTCGCCGAAAAAGAACCAAAGCAAACGCAGCACCATCCAATTCGGGTTTATAGACCCCCCGAACTGAACCCCCCGTGCTGGTGTATGTTCCGTCCACTCAACACTCAAAGTGGGGGGTGCTGGCAGTTTGCAGCTTCTGGCAGTTCGTTCCGACTCAGTGTTCGCGTTTTCGCCCGTGGTGTCGGTCGTTCTCTTTGCCTCCTCGACCACCTGACAAGGCGAGTCTGGCCCAGCATGGTGAGTTATTGCATTGCAAGAGAGTCGAAAAGCAAAGAGGAGTGGCTCAGAGTTCTTGCTATATTTGATTTTGCATGCTTGCTTCGTCGCAGTGCAAACACAGCACTGTTTTCAAGCGGGGAGCGGACACAAATGGAAAAGGTGGAAAACATGTGACAAAATGTCCCCAATGGTACCGATGCAAGGCCCAAACATATCAAAAATAGCCTTCGCCGATGTCATGAACATCGGTATAGCCGATATCAATCATTGAGGTCCATCTCCAAGGGTTTCTAGTTGATCTTAATTGGGTTGGAGGCCATCGCTCCTAGGTGGTGACCAGTGGGACCCCTGCCTTGGGAAGCTGCTTGGCGTTCATTCTCACCAGGCTTCGCCCTCCAGCGCGCTTCACCACCAGATCCTGCCGGAGCTTTGACCCATTTGGGTGACCTATGGTGACCTCTTTGTTCACAGGTTCCTTCCCCTTTTCGGAACACAACACGTCTTCGAATTCGACCGCCAGGGACGGCTCAGAGACATTTGTTCAGCGCAGCATGGCGCAGCATCGAAGACACGTCAAAACACAGTTGAAATGGGTTGAAATCTGTTGGGCCATTTTTCCAGATGATGTTGTCATCCCCGAATCGATGGGTGGCCGCTGACCACGGTGCTCTTCCACGAGCGACAATGGCTCTTTTTCTGGCAGCTGACCCGGTCGTCAATTGCCCCAAATCTCGCGTGCTCCGGTCATCAACGGCCAATTGTTCCAAGCTTTCGTTCGGTCAAGGGCAATCAATCATGTGCACCTCCACCATCCGACAAACCCAATACCTATTGTTGCTTCGTTTGCTTCTTCCGGCTGCTGATGCTGCTGATGCTGCTGACGCCAAAACAAACAAACCAACCAGTGCCAAACAAATAACTTCATTTTACTGGAGTAACATACCAAAAAGACACGACTCCAGGAAGTCAAGGACCAGCTTTTGCTAGGTCAGGCTGGACTTTGGTGGGGAAAACCATCCACAAATCCCTCCGTGTTCTCTCTCTCTCTCTCTCTCTCTCTCTGTCTGTCTCTGTTTCTGTCTCCGCCTCGTGTGCCTCGGCCGCGGCCAGGATATAGCACAAGGCGTTCCGCGCGCGGCTGCCGAGCCCCGGCGCGTCGCGGAACGCGGTCCTTCGAAGACCTGAGGCGGTTGGCGGTTGGCGCTTGGCGCTGCTTCGGCACGAGGAGTTTGCCGCGGATGGGCGGTTGGCGTGGGGATGGCAGGTCCGTCTCGGTGGCCAGAGAGGCCGTGCAGCCGCGGGAGATTGCGGTTGTGGGGGGCTCACGAGTTGTAGGAGGAGGGTCGGATGTGGGTGGGTGAGTGTTTGGTGCTGGACGTTGACTCTTGGAACTGGAGGTGGCAAAGGAGATTTTTGTTGGTGCTGGCTGCCGCGATGGCTGTGATCATGATGTCATACGAGACACTCCATGGGACTGGTATCTATGCCAGCCCATCACTTTTCAACTACCCCAATGGATTCATATTGTGCCAGTCCCATAGGTTTCTCTATGTTTCTCTCTAGGATACCCAGCGACACGAGCGAGCCCAGCGTCAGCCCCTGGGGGCCGGTCATAGCGCTCCAGTCAAGTGGCTCTTGTCCAGCAAGAGGACGCTGGCCGGCACATAGCGCTCCTCATCCAAGTAGTAGTAGAAGAGGTCGTTGCGGTTTCCTACGAGCTCACGAGGCAACCATGCACCTGCATTCCCAATTCGGAGTCTTGGGAAGAGCAAGGGTCACAAGGTTGGCATCGACCCATCCACTCACCTCCTAGACCTTCCAATCATCCAAACAGGTAATGTTCCTTCCGCTGGTGGCTGCGTCTCGTCCTTCTTCGTCCTTCCAACGTTGAGCCCACCGAAGATAAGTTCTAGTGGAGGTTTGTCTAATCATTGCCGGAGTTTGGAATTAACTGATGAATTCATCAGTTCTCTCCAAGTCTATTTGTTTTGGGATGTTTTGGGCTTTCAGTCCCCAATCCCCATCCTTGATGAGTCCCCAATTGCACGACGAAGAACGCGTGTATCATGGGCACCATCACCCCACCTGTCCCAGGGCTCACGAGCCACATGGAGCCACCGATCCCCGCCTTTTGGTTGGGCAAAAAAGGATTGACGTCTTGACGTCCAAGGCATTCTGATCCCATGTTGAGGTCCATTTTTTGTTGATCCGTCAAAGAGATGATCCCTTTTCTCTGTCAAGAGATCGAGGATCACTTTTAATTGTAAACTCCTCGATGATCTCTTACACAGATGATGCTTATGGAATTAAATTTCCCGCCCAATAGAAGAGGTGTTTGTGAAACAAGTCAAGATGTCACAAGTCCAGGCAAATCTTCCTTGCTTCACACGCCCTGCGTTCGCTCCTGCAGCCACTCACCCCCCCTAAGCGCGCCCCACAGCAGGCGTCTTCGTGCGTCCGCGCGGCGACACGTCGTCGCCGTTGCGGAGGTGCGGCCGCGCTCCTCGCGCGGCGACGCCCGGCCTTCCATGGAGTTCATGCGATCGGCTAACTCCATCGACATATACTGAAGCCTCAGGTTGAAGGCGCGGAAGCTGTGCCATGGGTGACATGGACCGGACAAATATAGACATAGCCGTCTCCCTGCCGGACGTCGAACTCAGGTAGGACCCCACACTCCCTGAAAGAAGCATGGAAGTGGAGTTCACCAGCTGTTTGGTCTTTTGAACATGGTCATCCAAGGAGTCCATTACCATCGACGTGGATGAGTTCAGACCCGCTGGTCCAGTGAGATCGACGGACCTGCGATTCTCCGTTCTGGGTTGACCCCGAGGAACTGAGGGGGAAAGATGGTGCACACTCAACAGGAGCCGTTTGGATGCCGTATATATGCCCACTCTCTGATCCTGAAAGCTGCTGTCACTTGGCATCAACAGCTATCATGTGACTTTGCAAACAATCCAACCTCCTTCTCCCATCCCCGGGTCCTTTGGTCGTGCCACCAGCTACCCTGGACGGACCAGCTACCACACGCCCGCCACCAAGGCTACCCGCCGAGCCACTTCTCTTCCGGCGTCTTCTCTCTGAGGACTGGCTCCGCGTCGTACGCCGCACCGCGGCCGCCATCTCCGCGTCCGACGGGTCTCTCCAGGTCGTCGGCCATGGCAGGGCGGACGTGTGAGGGCGTGTAGGGCGCGTGTTCGAGTACCAGCCATGAGACATGTTGTTCTTTATGGTCGGGTGCGTGTGCGTGTGTGGGTGGGTGCGCGTGTGTGGGTGGGTGTGCGTGGGTGGGTGTGGGTGGGTGGGTGGGTGGGAGTGAGTGGGAGGGAGTGAGTGAGTGAGTGAGTGTGTGTGTGTGTGTGTCAAAGAAGGCTGGAACTTTCAGTTATGACCCGCTGGTAGGGTTGGAAACGGCCAATGGAATGCGGGGTGCGGCCTCCCACATGAACATGAAATGACATGTGTCCTACCAAGGTCTACCAAGTCTGCATCCTTTTTCGGTCGCATCGCTGAATTTCGAAGAAATAGAAAAACGGATCCTTTTTCGTTTCGGTGTCTGCTTTCACAGTGGGCAGAAACCAGCCATAAACAAGCCAGTGAGATAGGGCGGGCACGAACTCCGGTCGACCGGTCGACGGTATGACACCAGGTAACCTGGTTTGATGGGAGCAGCATCCCCTATTCTATTGCGACCAACTTGACATTGTCTTGGAACAGCCCCGTATTTGAACCATCTGTGGCTGACTTTTCTCCTCCATCTCTGGTACCCATGAATCAACCGTATAATACCAGGACCTTCAAGGGGTGGTTCATGGACACCCCTTGACAGCTAAGGGGCTTATAATGGCTTATAAATAACTAATAGACACCCTGACAGGAGGGTCCTGATACAGTTCTTTCTTTCGTCCCTGTTAAGTCCTGTTGTATGGGTCTGATACTCGGGTCTGATGTACCACTCTGCTCAGAGCAGGGACCGACCCGGGGAACCGAAACCATCCAAAAACCCGGTGAGACTGAATTCAGTGGGTCGCTGCACGTCCGTCCGTCCGAAATCGGATTGGTTTGGGGAAAGAGTGATCGGATTGGTTGAATTTGTTGGCGACATCGACACCATCGACACCTTCAGTTACAAGACCACAATGATACAATTGGAGAACACCATCGAGAACGTTTCGGAAAAAAAACAGCAGCACTAAATAGATCAAAACGCAATACAAAGTAACAAAAGAAACGACTTCCAGACAGTGCACCGCGGCCAGTTCCAGGTGAACACATGTGAGACCCAGGCCATAGGACCCAGGCCACTTCTCTTCTCTTTAAGAGGTGAGGAACCACTCGTTCCGGGAAGCCCCACTTCTTTGGCCACGCATGGCCACGCACGACCATCCAAAGCCGACCTCCAACCACTCCCACTCCGGTCCTTGAAGCGTCTCTCAAGCACCGCGTTGTGCCTGAAATGGATGCGAACAGCGGTGAAAACGATGCGAAGCCAGGACTTCCCGCCACGTCACGTCGACCGCGCGCGGTTAGACCGCGCGCCGGCCTAGCGCTGGCAGGACTTGTGTGCCGGGCTCGGGCTCGGACGCTCGGACACTATGACTCTTTAGTTGAACAACAGGGAAGCCATGGGAAGCCACAAGAAGATCAAAGTAGCCCTATGGAAAATAAACATACATTGGGCATCATTTGGCCTAGTCCAATGGAATACGATAAATCAAGATAAATCGGTCTCAGTCAAATCTCCATTCTCCAACTGAGACGTTTCTCTTTTTCACGGCATTCCCTCACTCACCACCAGCCAGGTGGGTGTGTGCCTCCCCAGCCACCGGGGCCCCGAGCGTCAGCTTCTCGATCATCCGCAAGGACAAGTCCGAGCGGTTCGCCTTCTTGTAGGCCTGCGCTGGGGGGGGAGGGGGAAGGCAGGGTGAGAACCGGTCTCGGATCACGCGGGGTCCGGCGAAGAAGGTCCGGCGCCACCGGACCGCCTTCTTCACAGGTCGATTTGACCGCTGAGGGTCGTGCCAGGTGCCAAGTGCTCGAAAACCCGCTGAGTAAGGACGTAGTGTTTGGAAGGATTTACTTGGCTGCATCAAATCCGGCGCAAAGGCTGATGCTGTTTTAGTTCAAAGGAATCTGGGGCAACAGCTGACAGGCTGTAGAATGCGTGACAAAGCGGATGTCAAAAGTTTCACAAACGCGTGTATGATATATTTCCATATACAACCAACATCAACCAAACATCCCTCACGCAACTGTGAGCAACTCGAGAATGACCCGAAAACGCACTAGTCGCTTTTCAACCTGCGTTTGATTCCTTCGCTACATGGCCGAGGGTCACCCGGCCCATCAACACATCAAACATAATCGACCTCCCTCTGGGTCCGGTCAACATCTTCCCACATTTGGCTGAAATAACGGTTACCGTTCTTTGGCATGGAAATAGCTGCCAAAAGCCAGGCGCCGACCAACCGAAGGGGCGAAACACATCGTTGACCTCCCAAACCGGGTCGAAACTCGGTGGCCTTCAATCGAGACATCCAGCGACGGCCTCCAACACCTTTTTCTCTGCATTAACTCGTCCCGGCACTCTAAGAGCGTGGCACTCCAAGCGCGTTCTCCCAGAAAGCCAGTGACCGCGGCCGCGGAACTCCACGGCATGTTCAAGAGAATCCAGCTCCGATTTTTTCGCAGAATTCGCAGGAAGAATCTGCCAAAACCTTGGCAAGACCTGAAAACCTAGTCCAGTAAAATGAGGCCTAACATGGCCTATCAGATCCCAACAAACCCGTAGGGTTCAAGCAGGTTTCTCGCCATGACCTTGTTCCGGCAGACCGTCCGGGACTGGCCCTGTCTGGGAGACCTCCGATTTTCCGGAGGCTGGACACGGAAGAGAACCCGACACGGACGAAACGAGGGCCGGAACGGAGGAGGTCAAGAGCTCAGCTTCAAAAAACAAAAGGACGCCGATCAAAATGATGGAGGTTCCCTGTTGCCTCAACAGGTTCATGGAAACATAACAGTGGCCATGCGCTGTCACAAAAGCGGGACTTGAATAGTTTAAATAGACCCTATGAATGTATGTCTTGGCGTCATCGGGTCGCATGGCTGGGCTCTTTGGGTTGCATGGTTGGGTTGAGCGTTCGTGAGGCCAAGGTGATCGTGTGATCTTTCCCCTTTGCTCACAATTCACGTGTCAAATCCTTTGTCGTTCCTGGGACCCACCGGATTCACGGCTGATCATGTGGGGCAGCGAACACAGGGGTGTAGCCCCGTTTGGCCTCCAGTCGTACCGAACCTGAGAAGGTGGGACTGGGGTGGGTTTGGTCCAAATACCTTCTGAGGAGGTACTTGGAGGTGTAGGGATCATGCATAAATGTATATATATATATATACACCATACACCATCCGCTGCGCGGACCCACGGGAACTTGTTCCACTCTTCGTAGATCTCAAAGCCAGACCTCCTCACCCAGAAGCCCTGCGCGTCGAACCAATTCTAGGCGGCTCCGCCTGCTTTGCTCTCTCAATCGAGCCCAACCTTTCTTTAAGAAAGCTGGCCACCTGTCGAGGATGTCCCGGTCCCCTCAACCTCCCCTTGAGCCGGTTTTTGGGGTGCCACAGCTGTGGAGCCGTTTTTGGGGTGCGGAGGATGCAACGACCTGACCTCACAGCGCAGTACGTGCACCCTACGGCTACATCTGCAACCAGAAGAAAGAACCGGCAAGGGCCACTGGCCGGTGTTTCTTTCTTGAGAGGAGACAGAAGCAATGAAGCAATTTCACCCGTTTCGTCACCCTCTGGCGTTGGTGTGACCTTCAACGTCCATGACTTGTGTATAAGTCAAAACGATGATTCATCCTCCGCATCTCCACTGGAACAACATCCTCCTCCCTTTTCACATCCGATGAATCCCGAAAACCGAAAAAAAACCACCAGTGACGGTCCAGGCCACCTAAGCGGGCTCCTTCTCAGCGAGCCCGGTGAGCCCAGCGAGCCCTCGTGCTGACGCTGCCGATGGGTGCGAAGCGAGAACCGTCGGGAAGGAGGCAAGTTTTGGGAGCTGTTCTTAAAGCAAATTGAAAGCTGAAATTGTTCATCAAGGAAGTCATCAAGTCATCTTCAGCAAACGAGAATGATTCTCGATTATACTATATTGTCTTCTTAAGAAGAGGCCAATATGAACATGGAGAATGACATCACAAGCTTTTGGATGCCTCTGTCAAACTGAGAAAAACCAAGGAACCTATATATTATATATCTAACACAAAAACACATCAACACCTATGGAAGACCAACGGAAGACGTCCCAGCAGAACGTCCAACGTGCGAAAAATTGAACGCCTCAGTCCGTGTGAAGGACTCTCTGAAGGCAAACCCAAGAGCAAAACCCACATGTTCCATTTTTTGTCGTGTCCATTTCCAGTGGCGCAACTGGGCGATCAGGGTGCCTTCGGGAGGCACCCAAACCCCCCCCAAAAAAAAAACAAAAAAAGAAAAAGAACACAGTGATGGTTGAGTGCTAAGTGATGAGTGATGCGGTTTTTGAGTGATGGTTAAGATCATCCCACACTCAACCGCAGTCTTTGGTCGTTGAGTGATGCGCTTCCGCCCCGCCCAACGGCGCCTTCGGGAGGATCTGCCCAACCTGGGTGGGTCAGTTTGACCGGACCCTCCGGCGTCTGGTTTTTGCGACCGGATCAGGGTGCTCCAGTTCGCCCAGTTGGGTGAGTCTAAATCCCTTTGTCTTCCCAAACTAACTCATGTGACGTCTGTTAGTCTTTGATAAACACGAACTGCTATCGGGCAAGCCATGGTGTAGCGCTTCAGAAGGCATTCGAGGCAAAGGTCTTGAAGGGCTTGAAAGCTCAAACTATGGTGAACTCAAAGCTGGAGATGGCACTACAGCTTCCAGCGCTCAGCTTCCACTATGGGTTTTGCATGGTGGTTGGATGTATAAGTGAAAACCCTTCAAATCTTTGGGTGAGGAAGAAGGTGAATCTTGCTATATATATATATATATAGATTATGGTTTCCCCGGGCTCCGGAGCTCCCTCCTGAGCAAAAGCCAGTGTACAGTGCATGCTAATTGCGCATGGCAGAAGACCCACCTGGGGAATATGAGACAATTCCTTGACACAGCGAAGTCACCGTTTTTCCAAA